TAAAATATTATATTATACATATTTAAAAAACCATAGTAAAATATTATATTATACATATTTAAAAAACCATATTAAAATATTACATATATTATAACTATAATAAAATATTATATATATTATAACTATAATAAAATATTATATATATTATAACTATAATCAAATTTTATATATATTATAACTATAATAAAATATTATATATATTATAACTATAATAAAATATTATATTATACATATTAAAAAAACTATATTAAAGTATTATATATATTATAAATATTTTAAAAAAACCTATATTAAAGGAAATATGAAGATGTTTACTTACATACGATAATATATATATTTTTTGGAAACAGCAAATAACAAAAAATAAATAACAAATTTTGCCTTTTTTAAGATACAAAAAAAAAGTTTATATCGTACACGATTCTAGGATTCCGAGCATTTTCGCACAAATTTTAAAAACAAAATTAACTAAGAAAGAAAAAAATTCGAATTTATTTGTTACCTAAAAAGTAATTAAAGCAAATAAAATGTTATCTAATATCCAAAATCGATATCGCTATCTAACACGCACCCTTAAAGCGATAATGTTAAATATGGATAGCCCCCTTAGAACTTGGAATAATCTTGTTAAAGTATTTTCTTTGATCGCCGCTGAAAACAGTAATTAGCTTCTCGAAAAGCAGATTGTAAAAATCTTTGCTTTATTTAAAGCAGGATTAAAGAATTTTGTTACACATTTGCATTTTTTTCTTCTTCTACATTCGAAGATTCCGTTTCGGAGGTGTTTTAAAAGATGTATATACCCCCGCTTTATTATGCAAGGATTAAAATGTAATACCTTATTTTGTAAGAGGAATGAGCAAGCGATAAATAAAAAGCTTCCTTTTCATATTTTAATGTAGAGATCTTAGTAATTTACTTAAATGTGACTTCTTGGCGAAAAAGGGAATTAATCCGTTTCTTAAATAAGAAAAATGTTGTGAATCTGCGTTTTGTATCCATATTTCATATTTAAATAAAAGAAAGACGGGTGTTATGTAATCGTGTCCCTCCCCCTCCCTTTTGACAGTTTTCGTTTCATCAAATTAAATACTATAATAATGAGAATGAATGAAATCATCAAAAAAAAATTTCTTCAATTAAAGCAAATCTAAGTGTGTTTTCCTATTTGCATAAATTTGCATATATGTTTTAGGCTTAAAGAATTTGCCGGAAGATATTGCAAAGTGACATTTCAGCAAATTTGAGAAAATTATCTTTAGAATCAAAAAGCAGTTTTCGAAACGTCGTTTTGCTAGTGGAAATAGTCGGAATTTAAAGATCGCGTTGAATAAATAGCAAGGATTAAAAATTAGAATCGATCAATAACTCGTTCATATCTTGGTAAATTGAGTGTTTTCAAAATGTTATGTTTGCCACATCTTTCTTTAATTCGCCAGTTGAAAAATCGGCAGAATTACGACAAATATGTAATTCTGCTAGCTTTCTTTAAAAGATATATATAAAGAGGATGTGTTATTGTGAATGACTGAAATTGGTGACTATTGACTTCCACCAGAGAATGTTGACAATCAACCAAGTCGCTTCGGTAAAAATAAGTGCCACTGCCCGGTATACATTTGCAGTAAAAAAAATATAGGCGATTATAAGAAAGTAACATACTATCGCTAAAATAAACTACAAACAAACTTACTTGATCTTTAAAATTCAGCCATCCTAGCTATACTGATACTTTATTCCTTAATCTACAGGTTCACGTGCCATAGTCAAAGTAAAGGGTAACGCAAAACATTTTACAATAATATACTATATCCCAGAAAGAATTCAATGCTTAGAACAATCTTTATGGAGTTTTGCATAGCACTGATCGTACTCATACTCATATGTTGTAGTTATCTTATGAGCCTAGCGAGAGGCTCTAACTAATTCACCTGAGTGGGAATGTATGATAAACCGCCGAAGCACAATTGAATGGCAGTAACATTTACTGAGCGAAAATTAAAATAAAATAGCTAGATTTAAACAAACAAATTTAAGAGAGAGAAGAGGTTTTTGTGGCAGACTGCCTCGCCTCCCCCCAAGGTAGCACTGATCGTAAAGATGCGATTCCCATTAGAACACCGAAGTGTAACATCACTGGCTGCGGTCAGCTAGTGGATAGGTAACCCTTTGATCTGCCTGTGTAGGGTCCGCGAGTCAAACTGTTCAATGTCCTGCAGTGGACTGATCGTTAAGACACGGTTCCCAGCAGATCACCGAAGTCAAGCATCACTGGCTGTGGTCAGTATGCGGGTGGGTGACCACTTAGATCAGTCTGCGTAGGGATCGAGGGTGTGCGGTATTGGTCCTCGTTAAACTGTTCTACCGTAAAGTGCTCGACTTCGTGTGCAGATCGTCGGGCTACCGAAGCGAGGGTGCCATCCCCTCTGCAGAGGATCAGAATTGCGATGGCATGTTTTTTGGATCGTCGTCAGGGATGTTTCCCAGACCGTCGCCAATAGCCCATTGTGCAGCTCTAATAATGGCGTAAATGAACTATAACAAGAACATTAAACTGTTCAACAGTAGTGTATTGGATTTCGTGCGCAGGTTATCGGGCTACCGAATTGGAGGAGTCACTTCCTTTGCAGAGGATCGAAATTGGTCATGATGGCATGCCTTCGGATCATCTTCAGGGATGTTTCCCAGACCGTCGCAAATACTTCACTGTGCGATTTCTGTGTGACGTTAATAAATTGCATACCTAATAATTTTTATGGTTAGGTCAAAGTTGCTACCGGAGCCTCACTAGCCGAGTGATATCACCTGCCAAACACTCTGTAGCGGAGAGGTAGCGGGTTCGAATTCTCCCGTAAAACCTGGATGTATTTTCGTGCTGACTTCTTCTGGAATGTGCTATCCGATCTTAAGCCTTAGTTGAGGATACAAGTATGGGTCTGTTGTACCTATAAACAATTAATAATATCTGCTCATTTACAAGGTCGTCGGGTTTGGAGCTATCCCTTCGGCAGAGGATGGATCAGAATTGCGATGGCATGTTTTCGGATCATCTTCAGGGATGTCTCCCAGACCGCCGCCAATAGCCCATTGTGCAGCTCTAGTGCGACGTAAATAAAATATCTACCTGTTCATTTACTTGACAAAGACAAAGGGAGAACACCGAAGTGAAGCATTACTAGCAGCGGTCAGGGAGTGTGTGGGTGATCACTTTGATCAGACTGCGCAAAAACCAAGGGTGCACGGTAGTGGTCCTCTTTAAACTGTTCTACCGTAAAGTACTGGACTTCGCAGGTTAACCTATTTTGAGGGGATCAAAATTATGATGGATTGTCTTCGGATCATCCTCAGGGATGTTTTCCCGACCGTCCTCAATAGCCCACTGTGCAGCTCTAATGAGATATAAATAAAGTACTACTACTACTACTATTACTTACTTGACAAAGGCTTACAAGTCGTACCTATGTAATTGAGCACACAAGACTTAAAACGTATGAGTATCAAAAAATAAATACAAGTTGCAACCCTCTTTATCATTAGGATTTATCATAAGACTACATTTAGTTTTACAATTAAACGTTTGTGAGCTATTCTCTTATACGTTTTTAAACTACTTTCGTGATTATAGTCATGAATTTACACATTTCTGTGTCACTGTTTAGGATTTTGATGGCATTAATTATTTCAATTAAGAGTTTGCATGCTTGTCTGCTAAGAGATTTCCCTTGTTATATGCGTGCTGATGTTTTTCAGTGAATTTCGTCTACGAACTCGTTATCTAATCTGACACAGGAAGGTAACTGAAATATTTACATCCCTGACCATTACGATTAGATTATATCGACATTTTATACCTAATTCTAATGGTTTGTGAACTCTATACAAAGAAAACCTCATTTGCCTTTGCCAAACGGAAGGACTAGGCAAAACAAGTCACAGTGAGAAATGACACAAAAATAATGTGTGATTCATCCTGTGAAATTTAAGCACGCTGACACAACACTTTTGAATTATAAGATGGACTCTATTAGCCCTTCAATCAAAAGCTCTCTTACTAAGAGAGTAAGAGCAATGCTTTTGATGATTTGGAATAACTGTTTCAGATTTTGTGATGTGAGTTGATGTGAAAAAAATGAAAATAAATTTTTTTTTCATACTAACACGAATACATTCAGAAGCATTAGTACTTTATTAACGTCGAACTAGAGCTGCATATGGCTATTTGCGACGGAAGCAGTCGCGAGGGCGTTTTAATTGATGCCATCACAAGTTTGATCCTCTGCAGTGGGGAGGGCTCCCTCGCGTTGGTAGCCCGACGACCCACGCGCGAAGACAAGCACTTTTCAGTAAAACAATTGAATGAGAACCGATACCACGGGCCCTCAGCCCCTACGCAGTCTGATCAAAGTAGTCATTCATTCACTAACTGACCGCTGCAAGTGATCGATTGAAGACCGTGTCTGACGACCAATCCACTGTAGGACCTACTAAAGGGGAAAGACATTCAAAAAAATTTATACATTTCGAGTTTGCCTTATTCTGTTACCTAATTACAGGCTCCTTCTAATTTTTTAAGTAGTCCGGATCTTCTTTTTTTTTTTATCAAAGGGATATTGAGCCAGTGTATAGAGGCCAATGTGCAGCAGGGATGTCCAGGTCATTACCCAGTATACACTTGTCCAGAAATTTCCTTACTCTGGCATTTTTCCCATTCTGAGATTCGTAGCCATTTTTCGTAGCCATTTCCTTCCTTCTTATTAATGTTTCGTTACACACGCAGGCTTTTGTTTTCATTTGAAAGATGGCTTGTAAGCCCTTTCTATTGCCGACGGTCTGGGAAACATCCCTGACTATTGTCCCCGGAGACATGCCATCACAATTTTACTCCTCTGCAGAGGGGATGGCTCCTCCGCTCTGGTAGTCCGACGACCTACGCGCGAAGTAGAGCACTTTACGGTAGAACAGTTTAACGAGGACTGATACCGCACACCTTTGGTCCCTACGCAGGCGGATCAAAGTGGTCACCCACCCGCTTACAGACAGTGATGTTTGACTTCGGTTTTCTACTTCAATGTAATCATTCCACTTCGGAACTCCTACACCTTTGGAGTCCATCAGAGGAATGATCGTTAAGACACGGTTCCCAGCAGATGCCCGAAGTCAAGCATCACTGGCTACGGTCCGTGTGCGGGTGGGTGACCACTTGGATCANGCTTTGGTAGTCCGACGACCTGCGCGCGAAGTAGAGCACTTTACAGTAGAACAGTTTAACGAGGACTGATACCGCACACCTTTGGTCCCTATGCAGGCGGATCAAAGTGGTCACCCATCCGCTTACAGACAGTGATGTTTGAGTTCGGTTTTCTACTTCATTGTGATCATTCCACGGCGGGACTCCAATACCTTCGGAGAGAATTGAATATTCTAAGACATTCATTAGATAAAAAAAAACTATCAGAGATAGAGGAATCTTTTCTTGTCAGGGATACTACAAAAGAAAACAAAAATTATTTTCGTAACGAAAACTAGCAGACGGATGCGATCTCAAGCACCTACCTCTAAAATAAATAAATCCTTTTACGAAATTTAATTATTGAAGTCCCCATAGGTGCGTAATTAAAGTAGTTTAAAACAAGGCAAATGGTCCCGTTATAAATTTTACGAAAGACTAGGAAGGATTAAATTTCAATTCAAGAAAAAATGAATAAATTTCTGAAAACGTTGTTGTTTGAAACTTCAAAATGCCAAAAAATATTAAATTTTCAGTTATAACATATAAAAATACGAGGCATAAGAGACTCGAGCTTTAGGATCGAATGCTTCGGATTCTTGTATTCAAGAATGTCTAGGACTCTGCTTCGCAGAGCGAAGGGACAGTGTTAGCTTTAATTGTTTAGGGTACTTTTCCGCAAATCAACGCTCGCCGACCAAGTATCGATTTACGTAATAATTAGTATCGGATCACAAGTCTCAAACCTATTGCCGCGTAATACACTGCTGGACAATTGCTAAGGACGGATCACAAATTGTAATGTAGCATAACATTAAGCGAGACATGAGGCCTAGTAGGATAAAATATAGTTGCCACACTGTTCAGACATTAGAATAAAGAATATTCATTATTCTGGAAAGTACAAATGCTATGAAACATCTGAAAGAAAAAAAAAATGTTCAATTGATGCTGTGTACGGAAAAATGGAACAATGCATCTAAATGTCAGCAGGAAACTTGAAGAAAGGTGTCAGTACGGGATATGTCCACCGTGGAGTGTGATGCAACATTCTACACGTCGTATCATACTTTGCACAGCATTATCCAGCAGCTCTTGAGGCAATTTATCCCATTCCTCTTTCAGTGCACGGATGAGGGTGTTATTATTTGTCAGAGGATAGTTTCGACCAGCAAGTTGCCTCCCCAAAGCATCCCAAATATTTTCAATGGGGTTCAGATCTGGAGAACGTGATGGCCATACAAGGCGTTGAATACCCTCGCTGTCTAGACAATCCTGAACAGCGAGTGTTCGATGACGTGTTGCGTTGTCGTCCATAAAAACAAATTTATCNTCGGAAAAAAAGTTTTAATGTTTCCCAGACAGTCGCCAATAGCCCATTGTGCAGCTCTAGTGCGACGTAAATTAACAGCAACAACAACAACAACAGCAAATATGGTCCTGTTATTGCAAAAAACTTTTTGAAGGAGTTTTTAAATTGTAAATAGATACTAGATTATGCCTCTGTAAAATTAATTAAAAAAAATTAACTTCTCAAAATTAAACAGCAATTACTGCAATTAGAGATGCAACATACAAATAATTGGTATTCAGCCTATACTGCTGAACGCAGAATATTCATTTTGAACGAATAAAGAAAGAAGCGTCAGCCAAAGACAAAACTTAGTTCGTTTATATCCGTCTTTCTCCCCCCCCCCTTTGAAGGGTTTATTCGATTATCAAAACAATAATGAAGATAAACAAATTTGTGAAAGGTCCGATTAAAAGATAAATTATTTTGTGAAGGGTCCGTTAACGAACCCAATTTTTTTCTAAACAGATCCCTAAACTGTAAATAATATAAAAAATATTAAAAATTAATTTTAAGCAAATTTCTTTACGCATTCACAGTTCA